ATCTACCACAGGGTTAAAATATTTAAGTATAATCTAGCCATTAATGATTTTTTCAATAAGCTGCAGTATTTCATAAACCACTGCAAACAGTTCTCGAAAGAACATAAGATGATGTCTTGCTCTCTGGTATGAATTAACATGTTATACAATTTAATTTTAAAATCATGACTTAGAAGTCATTAAACTGTTGGTTGAGTACCTTTTTTTCTTTTTTTAAATAAACTGTTACATGTGTTTTAAATTTCTGCCTGTGAAAAATTAATGTACTGGAATAAACAAATTTCCCCCAAATTCTTAGGCAAAGCTAGAGGCTTGAAGCATCACCTGATCTATTTTGTCAAGGTTTCATGACTAATGTACTTTACCATGTATTCAGACAGTCTATCAAGAATATGAGAACGGCCAGGTGACGCGATACCTCCAGTTGTAGTTCAGCTATCAATCATGAGGAAACTGAAGTTAAGAAGGAACTTTGCCTAATGTGCTAACAGGGGCCATGCGCTTTGAGGAGATGATGATGTGCTTAGTCTCTGGGGAAGCCAAAAGGAGTCATCAGTGGGAAGTTCAGCCAATGTTGCATTAAGAGTGGCTACTAGCAGTTATCGAGAAGGCGTTTGTTGTGGTTTGCAGCTGTACTAATGGCATCAACGCAAGGTGAACTATAATAACGGCTCAGAATTAAGACCGGTAAAAATTCAATAATCCAAACCAGTCTCCACTTCATCAGCATCTTGTTATTTTTCAGAGTCTTGGGTAAAATTCTGGCCAGTGAAGGAAAGCCCATTCTTTAAGACTTCCCAATGCTGAATATATTCACATAGAGATAGGCCAAGGTTTTTCAAAACTGGGTACCTAAATCTTTATTTTGTTGCATAAATAAAATGGAAAGCAGCAAGCACCCAGCAGCTCCCACTGAAGTAAAAGGAATGAAGAGAAATTGAATGATTTACTGTAATCTTACAAAAACTGTACAAGTGCAGGTGTCAGATAAGAGAACAACAAGAGAGATGAGGCAGTTACTGATTAGAGTAAGTATACATATTGTTTAATTATAAAAGGTTTATCCCACTTATACCAGATGTTTTCATATGCAGCTGGTAAGTCGTATATAGGCATGGAAGGGTTAGATTTTTATCAGTAAATGTTGATTTCACTGTACGCATATGCTGATGAAAAATATTTTCATTGATAAAAATCAAAATGTACAGACATATAAAGTAAGAAAAACACTGCTTAAGAAAATGCAGTGATTTAGACACTTAAATTAGGCTTGTTATAAATGGACTAGTGAATGAATAGTAAGAACAGGTATGATTTCTTGATTTAAGAATATTTACTTAGCATATTTTGACATATAATGTTGACAATTTGTGTTTTAACAGTTTATAAAGCTTTAAATTCTTGAATCTCAATGTCTATTAAAATGTCTGACCCACATCCCATAATTTTCACACTTGCGGGGAAAGTAAGACAAAAGTCTTAAAAAACACACACACACACACACACACACACACACAAAACACACCACACGCATAAAAATAAACATTGATGTTATTCACTGAAATTATTTTAAAAAAAATGGAATTCTGCCAACCCTACTAATACAGTTCCTCTTATTATTTATGGATTGCACCTTTTAGCATGGTGCACTTATAAGACAAAATTAAACTGCCACATTTTCAAGTTAATGTCAAAGTATGGGAAATTGTCTCCTGGGAATCTGCCTAATTGAAAGTCTTCTGGTCTGACCACAGTAGTTTGATGAAATCATCTTATGGCTCTATCCCCCTAGTTTCAGTTATTAGAAAATATCCAGATTCATTAAAAGTAAACAAAAATTGTAGTGACTGCAGTCAAAAGCTATTACAAGAATGCAGGTAGCCACCCCAGAGTTAAAGTTTAAACATGGTTTCTCTTTAAACCCTCCCTATATATATATCACACACACACACACACACACACACACACACACACAGACAGTGAAATCATCTTGAAAATCAAAAGGTCAGTTCAGAACCTAGAGTAGAGTGTGTGGTGCAAATTTGAGTTCATTTGCTGAAGGGGTTCAGATAGTGAAATACAGTTTCTTGTTGTATCATTCTTTGGGCATGGGATATAATTAGCCTAAAGCTGCAAGAAATTAATTTTTGGAAATCCGTTAATGCATTGTTAGATTTTTTTTTAAAATTGCAGTTGTGCAACAGCAAGGCAGGAGAAACAGCTCAGTATCTCTAGGTTTATCTCTGTCAACCAATAGCAACTGCTCTGCACTTCACTGTGGGATTGTAGGAAAGCGAGACTAGATTTAAAACTATCGTGCGCAAAGGAAAAAAATAACCACAGATTTTTTGCTAACAAGGGGTATAGTACTGTGATGTTTTCAGTTCCGATTGCCATGGAGCAGAGTTACAACAGTCTGGCTGCATTGCGTGCATAGCAGTACCTTAACCATGCATTTCCTGTTTTTTTGTAAGTCTCTGGCTTGTCTTTTCACGAAATGCTAACACTATTTTCAGAGATGCATGGAGATATCTTAACTGAACATTTCTAGTTTTCTAATATTTGAATATGGCTTTTGAAATCCCACATTCCAAAAGGGTATCTGCAGGGCCGGCTCTGGGCACCAGGCACCCAAGCACATGCTTGGGGCGGCACCTGGTAAGGGGCGGTGGTTGAGCGCGGCACGGCATTCCGCGGCGGGGTGGCGCTCCGGCAGTGCGGCGCTGGGGGGGC